CCCCCCCGCGCTGGGGGATCTTTATACCAACGTTCATAGGAAGAGTCCCAACAGAATATTTGAGAACTCCGTCAGAGACTTTGAAACTTTATTTGGATCGACATTAGAATTTTGGAAAAAGAATGGAGTTTCCCCCGAACGCAAACCACACTCATAGTCCATTCCGCTCCTTCTATCATTTTGTTCCCACCGTCAAAAACATTCGCCGCTTCGACCCCGTTAAAGGAGAACTATGGGGTCAGGGCTTTTCCCCATAGTTCTCCTTAGGGTAACGGGAGGACACAAACTAGCGTCCTCCCGTCACCCTAAGCTCAGCTGTAGCTCGCGGTATACTGAGATGCCGCAGCCGGAGCGTATCCCGACATCGACATCGAGATCCACCCAGCTGCGTGAGTGACAGCTGGCTCTGCCTATCTAGAGGCAGAGCCGGCTGTACCCGCCCCCTCCCCCGTCCGTTCCACCAGTCAGCGCTGGAGGATCGGAGCGGGGAGAGGGGAATCCAGCCCCTCCCCTGTCACGGGATCGAGAGGTGAGCGAACGCCGGTATGTGTTCGCTCACCTCCCGATCTACCGAGCCGACCTGTGACAGTCTCATTGTCACAGGTCGGCTAGAACTATGAGGTGAGTGGAAATCACTCATCTCATGATTCTCCTTTAACAGAAAACAATGAAACGCATGTTCCGAAATTTTAACCGTGTGCCCAGCTTAACGCAACGCAGGATGGATAAGTTTAATACCATGCCAATGTTCCGTCCGGCCTTGGTGATTTTGGTTTTGTGATTGCTCGATTCTTTCCTGTTGGCGGGTTAAGCTGCCCACACACCTTACGATTATTGCGCAACACTTTGCGTCCCAAGATCGAACCATCGTACGGCAGCCCCATCCTGCCCCGATTATCGCAAGGATGAATCAGCGGTAATTAGAAGAAAGCACCCGGACGAATTGCGGGAATCGACCGCGCGTATTTTCGTCTGAGCATGCGCAGCGTAGATCGTATGAATTTTTGACGTACGGAAATGCCACCAACCTTGACAAAATCGTACGATCGACCAAGGTTTTCTAACCCGCTGGTTAGTCAAAAGCCGATCGATTGTACAGTATTTGCGGTTGTACACTGCCCATCAACCTTACGAATATCGGACGAAAAACGCGATCGCATACGAAAATCGGCCGATATTTGTAAGGTGAATATAAGGTGAAAATCGGCCGATATTAGTTAGGTGAATATAAGGTGAAAATCGGCCGATATTCGTAAGATGAATGGACAGCTTTAGCAGATACTTTCTTCTAATTGCTCAGCAGTCAAAAGCGACCGCTTGCGCTAATTAATTTTTCTAAAAACGACCGTTAACAGAGAATAATCTTTCACCGAGCCGCAAAGATCATACATTCGTCGTAAAAAATGTTATCATTTCCTTTTATGGGCCGTTGAATCATTGTCAGATTGGGGCAAAAAAAAAAAACAATTGCCCTTTGTCAATTTTTTATTGCAAAATAACGAATTCTAAAACCAAAAAATCTATTTTATTGCAAATCTGATAAAAAAACAATTTGGGCGCAAAAAAACTCTCCAAAAAACTTGGAAAAATGCAGAATTCATTTGATTAATGATTAATTCTGCATTCGTGCAATTTAATTTATTGCACATCTGATAAATACAAAAACTATTCGGGCGCAAAAAAGTCTCCAAAAAAACTCGGAAGAATGCAGAATTAATTTGAGAAGAGCCTTCGTAAGTGATCGGGAGTCCATGCCTAATTCTTTAGCTTTGCTGGTACCCAATCCAACTTTTTTTGACCTTTTCAAAAAACAATTTTTTATTGCAAAAAAAATAATTCTAAAACAAAAATCAATTTTATTGCAAATCTGATAAATAAAAGAGACAATTCGGGCGCAAAAAAACTCTCCAAAAAACTTGGAAGAATGCAGAATTAATTTGAAAAGAGCCTTCGTAAGTGATCGGGAGTCCATGCCTAATTCTTTAGCTTTGCTGGTACCCGATCCAACTTTTATTGACCTTTTCAAAAAACTTTCCAAAAAGTTCAGAAAAAAAAAGATTAAACTTTCTAAAAGTTTCAGCTTAGCAGGGGGGAGCAGCTTTTAGCATCAGCAGCTTACCTTTATGGAGAAGATCAAGGCAGCCAGGCCGAGCGGGCAGAAGCAACAGATCAGGCTGAAGATGGACCACACCAGATAATCCTTGCCCCTGGTCACCGCCATCGTCACAGGACAGGTAGCAAAACGCCTAAAATGTTTTTGAATATTTTTTTTGCTCTTGGTCCTCTATGCTTCTCTGCTGTGCAATGATGTCTCTGTGATTTTGGCTAGAGTTTTATCGCAGCTGCATAGGTGGGGTTTTCTACTAAAGGGTGGAGTTGGTACCCTCCTTTTTTCTTTGCCTCCCCCCCTCCACCCCGCAAAGCCACTTCCCTTCTTTGGCAGAATGTTTCCAACTTCTGCCATCCTCAAACTTCTCTCCCTTAACAAGAGGCTGCGAATGTTCCCATCATTTCCAGCCAACAAAACAATAGATTTCCTGGTCCCGAAGATGGACAGGTGTTATCTGTTCCACATGCCCCCCGGGGGGTCTCGCTGAGTTCAGCTTTTTTTTGTGTGCTTTTGTCTAAATTATTAATTTCCCTTTTTTATTTGATTTTTTAGTTTTTACGCTTCGGCTGAAAAGGTTGCTGAATAGGAGGAAGGGAGAGGTGGTGGGGGTTATTGCTCCGTCGTTGGAACTGCAGCAGCAGCAAAGGCAAAGTTGTTTTTTTATATGTGGAAATGTTTTTTTTTTCTTTAAAGTGTACCCAAAACTTTTTGGTTTTGGTTTTTGGATGGGGCGGGAGATGGTTACAGCCCCAGTCAAGGTTTTGATCCCTGTTAATTGCTCCCTCTCTCTTTGTCCTGGTGTCTAAACTGACAGGGATTTTTTTTTTTAGAGCCCGTGGAACGTGCGTCTAAAACGAACTCCCCTGTGAACAAAAAAAGTGAACCGTGAAATCACAGCACACAAAAACGTGCACAAGGGTGCTTGGTCCTTCCATAAAAAAGGGACTGTTGGTCCACCTACCCGAAGGTCGGCGGACCCCGATCCTTTGGGGACCTGCCGCAACAGGTCCCTCACAGTACTAGGTAGGGGGCTCTCCCGAAGAGAGGGGAGAGACAAAGAACCCTATAAAGGGCACAGAATCTCCCCCCCCACATCTGGAAAAGGCCCCGAAGGAACCTGCACCCGCTGCATCTGTGGGTCAAACTTTAAAAAATAAAAAAGTGCCAATCGTGCATAGAGTGTAATAAATAAATAAAGAGTGCCAGTGCACCACGCTGACAGGCCCTAGGGGCCGGAGTGCAAAAATATTGCCCCGGACTAGCCACAAGGCCTGTCTCAGAGGCGTTGTGCAGAAAATGCAATGTGATGCCGTGTCCAAGTGCACAGTGAGTCAAAGTGGGGTCCCACACCCAAGTGACTTTCTGAGCACCCCTGGGACACCACCCCCATGGGGCACAGCACCACGGGCTCTGCCGCCTCCCAACCAAGACCAGACCAAGTGGTTCTCCGCTCACATCAGAAGGTAGTGCCTTCAGGGGCCCTCCCACTGTCTAGGGTCTACCCGACACTCAGGGCCTGATGTAACTAGCAGTGGACCGAACCCCATCCAACACCCACCTTTACGCCAGAGGGTACTAGGACGCATCCACCCCTTTCCATAGATGGCAGCATCCTTTCCCCTCTGGCAACTGATAAGAACAGATACTACACTTGATCTTAGCCAAAAGGCCGAGAAGCGACTAAACTGACAGGGATGGAAAGCTCGAAATACAACAGGGGCTGAGGGGAAAAATTTAAATGGGGGCACCTGTTATGATGACGACGGCTGATGAACTGTCCCACCTTGGGGAGATTTTTCTCTAACTTTAAGGAGAACTATGGGGTCAGTGTTTTTCCCCATAGTTCTCCTTAGGGTAACGGGAGGACAGAAACTAGCGTCCTCCCGTTACCCTAAGCTCAGTATATAGGGAGCTACAGCTCGCGGTATACTGAGACGCCGCAGCCGGAGCGGATCCCGACATGGACGTCGGGATCCGCCCAGCTGCGTGAGTGACAGCTGGCTCTGCCTATCTAGAGGCATAGCCAGCTGTACCCGCCCCCTCCACTGTCCCTTCTGCTGGTCAGCGCTGGAGGATCGGAGCGGGGGAATCCCTGCGGGGAGCCGTGAGTGACCATCATGGCTCTCTGCAGGGACATGATCGAGAAGTGAGCGAGCGCCGGTATGTGTTCCCTCACTTCCCGATCTATAGAGCCGACCTGTGACAGTTTCATTGTCACAGGTCGGCTCCAACTATGAGGAGGAGTGATTTTCACTCGCCTCATAGTTCTCCTTTAACTCTTGCAGTGCAGGGGGAGCCACACTGCAAAGGTATTTATGAAAAGCTTTTGGCTTCAGGCTTTTGGCTTTAGATACACTGTAATCTGTAACTTTGGTAATAAAAATAAGAATGGCTGCCAGGAAGATTTTTTTCTTGCAGATGAGACTCTGTAATAAACGTTTCTTGTCTGCCTGCTGGCGATATTTCATCAGATTCTGCATTGAGTCACACGGGTGCAGCTCTGTGTAAATTTTGGCACGCCAACTCCCGTGGAGTTATCTCATGCCAGGCTGGCCAAGATGGTGAAAGATTCTGAACCAGGAAGAGGACCACGTGAAGATGGACCACGTTGCTGAAGCGGAGGTCAGTTGAGGGGACTTTAGATGATTTTTAAAGGGCCAGGTCAGACAGTTCCGTGCAGTAAAATGTGCGAGGGGGCGTTCACATCAGTCTGGTCCGCTCCGGTGTGTTAAACTCACGCCTGTTAATGTGCATTGTGTCACGCGTGAACGTGCATTGCGGTAGGGCAGCCGATTCATTTGAATGGGCTGCCCAACGCACCCCAATGGACCATTGCCCAATGGCCCAACGCACTGCAATGGCCCAACGTACCACAATGGCCCAACGTACCACAATGGCCCAATACACCGCAATGGACCAACACCCAAAAGCCCAACGCACCCCAATGGGACCAATGCCCAATGTCCCATCACATACCAATGGACCAATGCACCGCAATGGACCAATGGCCCAACGCACACCCCAATGGACCAACGCCTAATGGCCAAACGAACCCCAATGGCCCAACGAACCCCAATGGCCCAACGTACCCCAATGGCCTAACGCACAGCACTGGACCAACACCCTATGGCCTAATGCATCACAATGGACCAATGGCCCAACTCACCCTAATAGACGAACACCCTATGGCCAAACAGAACCCAATGGCCCAACGCCCAATGGCCAAATGAACCAACGCACCCCAAATGGACCATTGCCCAATGGCCCAATGCACCCTTATGGCCCAGTGTACCCCAATGGCCCAACGCACCACAATGGACCAACTCCCGAAAGCCCAATGCACCCAAATGGACCAATGCCCAATGGCCCATCGCACCCCAATGGACCAATGCACCCCAATAGACCAACGGTCCAATGTACCCCACTAGAACAATACCCAATGGCCCAACTCACCCCAATAGACAAACGCCCAATAGCCCCGGTGGACCAAAAATCATGCTTGCAGCCTTTTCAGCATTGCACCACATAATGGCAAGGTGTGATGGAATGCCATTTACCAACACATATAACATGCATTGCGGTAACATGTACATTACTGCAATGTGATAATGTGAATGAGCCCCAAGAGATTTCCTCTCACTCTCTGCTTCCTGCTGTATTGATAGGACAGAAAGGGAAGGAAAATCCCCCAACAGGGCACAGCAAAAAAACAAAAACCTGCCAATGGTTTGGGCTGAAGATTAAAGGGTTATTAAACCCTCACATGCTTTTGCATAAATATATGGCTAGCAAGCAATAGACATATGCAAAATGATAAAAAAAAAACCAAAAAACTTTTTCAAAGGGGTTAAACTTACATGTGTCTCCGCCGCGCGCTCCCGTCCGAACATCTGAAAACTCACAGTCATTTTGGTGTAACCCCCTCTGAAAAGTCGGGCACTCGGTCATGGACCGAGAGACCGACAGTTGCAGGAGAGAGAGGAGGGGACCAGACGGCATACCTTATCCCGCCGGGTGAACATCCCCTCCTCTCTCTTCCGGCGTCCAACACCAAGATGGCTGCCGGCAGGTATCAAAAAGATGACTGCGCATGCGCGATGATGTCACGGCGGGGTGTCACCCAGTATCTGCTCCGGGTGACACCTGACTGAGGTCCTGAGATCTGTCTGAGATGCTGAGTACCCTTGGGGGGAGGGGGTACTTAGGACAGATATGTTACCTGGAAAATGGAGGTTTCAAAGTGAATTCCCTGCGTTGCCTGAAAACGTGTCCCTACTTCCTAGCTCTGGTCCCTTGTAGAGTATTGACTATACTGACCTGCCACCTGTCCTTGATTTATACATACTCTAAAGTTAATATTAATGACGGCAGGTAGGTCACTGGGGGCACCATCAACATTTTCCTATGGGGCCCCATGATCTGTAGCTATGCCCCTGATTACATTGTATAGTAAATGGGAGTATGCTTACATCTACGGTATATGGCAGTGGTGGCGAACCTTGGCACTCCAGCTGTGCCAAAACTACAAATCCCAACATGCATCTGCCTCTGGGAGTTATGTCTGTGGCTGTCAGAGCCTTGCAATGCCTCATGGGACTTGTAGTTCCAAAGCAGCTGGAGTGCCAAGGTTCGCCACCACTGGTATATGGCATGGATAAAGAACAAACGCCCTATAACGGACATGCACATCAGCCACTCCTCATCAGAAGAACTTCCATAACCCTCAAGAACTAAGGAAAACCACAACAAACCAGAAGCTGAAGCTGGGGCCTTGCAGGATCCTGAGAAGGTTAATTAACTTCCTGCCAATTGTCAAATAACAGTATTAGTCCCGAGCTTCCATTTCATCACAGTCATTGTCGCTGGTGTTTGGCACAGGCAGGGCCGATGCTGGGGTGTTGTAACTCCCCACACAACAAGCCAACAAGCTGATGGTCAGTTCAGGCGCAGGCAAACAGAGCTCAGGTTGGTAAATGGAGCAACAGCAAAGGTAACAGGGTGGTGGTCAGGATAAGCAGGGGTGACCCTACACTTTGGTCTCAAGCCACGGGGGAAAGGTGGGGTGTTGCATGTTACTGAGGAGGGGTGTTTAGGGGAGGGGGTTCCTGGTGGTGTACATTACCCGGGGCGGGGGGTGTTTGGGGTGCATGGTACCTCTGGTGCCAACTCTGTCCGGCATCCCGCCCCAATTCACTGACGTCAATCT